ACTTCATATATATTTAATATTTATTTTATACTTATGTTGAAAAAATAAAAATCTGGAAATTTTTTTGAAATTCGATTTGGTAAGTGAATGTACGGTGTTCTGCATTCTCGATATTTGTAAGTGCAAAAATCGGTATATAAAAATACAGTAGGCTGCAAAATACGGTAGGTAGCATATACGGTTAGTTGCAAATACGGTAGGCAGCATAAATGGTAAGCTGCAAATACGGTAAGGTGAAAATATGGTAAGTTGTTTGCAAATACTGTAAACTGTAAATACGGTAAGTTGCAAATACTGTAGGCAGCATATACGGTAAGGTACAAATACGGTAAGCTGTTTGCAAACACTGTAGGCAGCATATACGGCACACTGCATATATGGATTTATAATTTGTTATGAATGTATAAAATTTATTTAATATTGAATTTCTTAAGTATTAAATATTGTAATTCAATATTGTTTCCTTTTTTATAATTGTATTTTCGAGAATTAAAAAAAATGGTTATAAAATTACTAATTTTTAAATGTATTTTTTGTTAAAGATAAAAATGATTTTTCTTATGTTATTCGTAAAAAAAAAATTATTGTAATTTTATTAGCGTAATAAGAAGATTTATTATGCATTTTGTGAAGAATTTTATTTATAGTGATTGACAAATATTCTTCCACACACACATCATGCCAACAACATTAAAAAAATAATAATTTTAGTATATATAAACTCTGTAAGACACAAAAAAATTTCCGCACATTAGCAAAAAGAAAAGACTCCGCAAAGTGTGGAGAGATGACAAACTATCTCTCCGCACAGTGTGAAGAGAAAAATAAAAACTCTCGTGACTTTATCTGCAAGTTCCAAGAGGTCTTTTCAAATAATTTTTGAGCAATGCATTGAATACTTTAATTCCTGATCTACAACCCGAAAGTTTAATTTCATTGAAAATTGTATCCGCTTCTAATGTCTAAGAGCTGTTATCAAGCAAGTGTAAAATATTGAATTTGGGTGGTACCCTAAAGTCTTCATTTGTGAAAGTAATGTCATGGTACTATCAATATCCACTTCTTTGCACAACTCACATACTGTTTCTTTGTATGAATCACGAGAAAGCTCATTTTTAATATCGTAAATATGATTTGAATGCTTAGAAATTGAGCAGTGACTGGAATTAATAGAAGACATAATTGATTTTGAGCCATGTTTTTCAACTCTGTTTCGTTATATATACGAAAAATTTACAATCTTGAAATTTGACTTGTAATTAAGAAATTTGAAAACAACTATTCGCACTATGCGAAGAGTTTTTTTTCTCTGTACTGTGGAGAGAGTTGATTTGTTATCTCTCCACACTGTGCGAAGAGTTTGCCAACTCTCCACACATGGTTCAACTCTCTCCGCATTATGAGGAGAGGTTTTTTTATCTCCGCACTTTTTTTTACTCTGCACATGGTTCAACTCTCTACACACTGTGAGGAGAGTTTTTTTTCTCTTCGCACTGTGTGGAGAGTTCTTCCATTGTGTGGACCAACTCTTCGCACCGTGCGAAGAGATTAACTCTCTTCACACAATGTAAATAGTTGGTTTGTCATCTCTCCGCATTTTGCGGAGAGGGTTTTTGTTTTTTGTTTTTTTACTCCGCACATGGTTCAACTCTCTTCGCACTGTGCGGAAACGTTTTTTTCTCTCCGCATCTTTTTTTATTTTTACTCCGCACTTGGTTCAACTTTCTCCGCACTGTGCGGAGAGTTTTTTTTTTCAATTTTACAATATCGAATTACACAAAATTTAGAAATATAATCTTCACATTCAATTCAATCATATCAACACTATCAAATAATATAAGCAAAATAGTTTGTATATTTCATATTCAAGCATGAAATATACAAGTATATTTTTCTACATAATATACTGCTATGCAATTGTAAAAATAATTTACAATTATTTTCATATATTATGGAAATATTTTTAGATATTGTTTCAAAAACTTTCCAAAAAAATTAAATTTATACACTAATAAAAGTACGATAAATACAAAATTCGTGCAACGCATATAATAGCGACTAGTAATATCAAATAATGGGGCCCATATGGGGGCAAAATAGAGCTCAAACAAAGACTAAATTAATCTCTTAATTGATAATTCTATTTTGACTTTATCACTTCACATTATATCCTTGTTCGAGCCTCACTTTTTTTTTTAAAATTAATCTCCAACTCCACAGTTTTTAATAATATAATATTACACGTAAATTCAAACATTTTTTTAATTTTTAACAATACATCCTTCATCAATATGCTCCCGTTTGTTTCTCATTTTTGAAAGAATTAGAATGAAAAATATAGTCGTTACAGGCCCCATACAAGAGATAGAAATTCAAATTTAGTAACTGGATGTGATGGATAACAATCATATTTTCCACTTTAATGAGGAAATAATGAGAATCAAACAGGCTATATAATATATCAAAATGCATTTCTTTTTTCCATATAGGGGGGGGCCCAAAAGCATCAACAGCGCTATACAATATTGGTCTAAGGGTAAAGGAGCTACACTAAACTAGAAGTGGACACTTTTTCCCAAAATCGGTGGAATCGGACCGGAACCGATTTGTTTGGTTCCGGATCTTCTAAAAAATAATTTGATTTCAGGACTAATTTTTAAGAACCGATTGGTTCCGATTCGGTTCCCGGTTCTAGTATAGGAACCGCGGGAACCAGAAGGTTCTCATTGGATTTTTTTTTTTTTTTGAGTAAAATATATAATTCAATCTCTAACACTTTTATAAAAAATAATTGGATTCATTCTTAATTTTAGATTTGAGCATCTTCCTTATTCTCTTTGATTCTTTCCTTGTCTCTTCTTATGATATTTTGATTAATTGATTTTCCAGCCAAATTAGAATATTGGGTAAATGTATATCTAAATAAAATTATTTATAATATATAATTTCATTTATAAGATACGAAATTTTTATTTTGTTTTCATGCAATCTATCTTGTTTTNGAGAGAGTTGATTTGTTATCTCTCCACACTGTGCGAAGAGTTTGCCAACTCTCCACACATGGTTCAACTCTCTCCGCATTATGCGGAGAGGTTTTTTTATCTCCGCACTTTTTTTTACTCTGCACATGGTTCAACTCTCTACACACTGTGAGGAGAGTTTTTTTTTCTCTTCGCACTGTGTGGAGAGTTCTTCCATTGTGTGGACCAACTCTTCGCACCGTGCGAAGAGATTAACTCTCTTCACACAATGTAAAGAGTTGGTTTGTCATCTCTCCGCATTTTGCGGAGAGGGTTTTTGTTTTTTGTTTTTTTACTCCGCACTGTGCGAAGAGTTTGCCAACTCTCCGCACATGGTTCAACTCTCTTCGCACTGTGCGGAAACGTTTTTTTCTCTCCGCATCTTTTTTTATTTTTACTCCGCACTTGGTTCAACTTTCTCCGCACTGTGCGGAGAGTTTTTTTTTTCAATTTTACAATATCGAATTACACAAAATTTAGAAATATAATCTTCACATTCAATTCAATCATATCAACACTATCAAATAATATAAGCAAAATAGTTTGTATATTTCATATTCAAGCATGAAATATACAAGTATATTTTTCTACATAATATACTGCTATGCAATTGTAAAAATAATTTACAATTATTTTCATATATTATGGAAATATTTTTAGATATTGTTTCAAAAACTTTCCAAAAAAATTAAAATTATACACTAATAAAAGTACGATAAATACAAAATTCGTGCAACGCATATAATAGCGACTAGTAATATCAAATAATGGGGCCCATATGGGGGCAAAATAGAGCTCAAACAAAGACTAAATTAATCTCTTAATTGATAATTCTATTTTGACTTTATCACTTCACATTATATCCTTGTTCGAGCCTCACTTTTTTTTAAAATTAATCTCCAACTCCACAGTTTTTAATAATATAATATTACACGTAAATTCAAACATTTTTTTAATTTTTAACAATACATCCTTCATCAATATGCTCCCGTTTGTTTCTCATTTTTGAAAGAATGAGAATGAAAAATATAGTCGTTACAGGCCCAATACAAGAGATAGAAATTCAAATTTAGTAACTGGATGTGATGGATAACAATCATATTTTTCACTTTAATGAGAAAATAATGAGAATCAAACAGGCTATATAATATATCAAAATGCATTTCTTTTTTCCATATAAGGGGGGCCCAAAAGCATCAACAGCTCTATACAATATTGGTCTAAGGGTAAAGGAGCTACACTAAACTAGAGGTGGACACTTTTTCCCAAAATCGGTGGAATCGGACCGGAACCGATTAGTTTGGTTCCGGATCTTCTAAAAAATAATTTGATTTCAGGACAAATTTTTAAGAACTGATCGGTTCCGATTCGGTTCCCGGTTCTAGTATAGGAACCGCGGGAACCAGAAGGTTCTCATTGGATTTTTTTTTTTTTTTGGGTAAAATATATAATTCAATCTCTAACACTTTTATAAAAAATAATTGAATTCCTTCTTAATTTTAGATTTGAGCATCTTCCTTCTTCTCTTTGATTCTTTCCTTGTCTCTTCTTATGATATTTTGATTAATTGATTTTCCAGCCAAATTAGAATATTGGGTAAATGTATACCTAAATAAAATTATTTATAATATATAATTTCATTTATAAGATACGAAATTTTTATTTTGTTTTCATGCAATCTATCTTGTTTTCACTTTGTAAATCTATACCTAAATAAATCTTTCGATAATATTTCGGTTCTTCTATATTTTGTTAAAAATATCACATTGGTAGCAATTTTAGAGTTTTTATTAGTTTACATTTTATTTCGACATTTTCAATGTAAAGAATTGGATTGGATCGGATCAGACCGAATCAGAACCAATTGGCTCTATTCGATAGTTAACTATGGAACCAATGGTTCCATTTCTAAAATTCCCATTTGTATTTTGGTTCAGTTCGATTTCCTTTAAAGCCCAATCAAACCGGACAACGCCCAATCCCCCCGGACAACGCCCACTCCAACACTAAACCATCGGAGATGGTAAAATATAAAATGTTGCAATCGAGCAGAGGGTATCGAAACTCAAAAGCTCTTGCTCTCCCTCCATTTGTCCCCATCAGTTTTTTTCACTCCTTAGGGTTTTTTGCAAATTCTACATCTCCAATCCATCCATAATCCACATAGCTGGGGCATGCTTCTGTTTATCTATATCAATTGAGAAAAGATAGAGAAAGATATGCCGTTGTTCATATCCGATGACGAATTTCAGCGGTACTCGCACGACGCATCGCTGGTGGCGGAGAAGGCGGATTTATTCATACGAGGACTATACAATCAACTCGAGACCGTGAGGGCTGAGGCGGACGCCGCCTCCATCACCGCCGAGCAGACGTGCTCTCTTCTCGAACAGAAATACGTTTCTCTCACTGCGGAATTCTCCGCCCTACAATCACAGCACTCGCAACTTAGCTCCTCTGTTGATCAACGCGCCTCGGAGCTTCAACTACTACAATCTGAAAAGAAACAACTTGTTCTTCAATCCGTAATTTCCTGTTTCTGATTTTATGTGCTCATGTGCTGTTAATTAAAGCACTTGGCCGATGATAGAAATTTAATATTTCTTCTGGTTTGGTGTTTTGTTTTGGCTACCAAAAAAGATCGAGAAAGCTGGGGAGGTTGAGAAGTTGACTACGGAAGCCACGGAGCTTCACAAATCAAAGAGGCAATTGATGGAAATCCTTGAGGCAAAGGATTTAGAGATCAGTGAGAAAAATGCTACTATAAAGAGCTATTTGGATAAGATTGTATGCTGCCCTTACTCCATCATTCATTTCCGTTTGCACTTAATTGTTTATCATAATCCCAAGGATATATGCTAATTCTATTGAAGTTGCATGTTCAAATTTTTACTGAATTCTAGTGTCATGCTCTATAGAAAGTTTATGCCTAGCATTGTGTCAGTAATGACTATTGGCATGACATCTAGTAAACTCATCCTTGGACTACTTTTTAAAGGTCAATTTGACTGAAAGTGGTGCGACAAAGGAAGCACGTCTGGGTGATTTGGGGTCTGAATTGACACGCTCCCAAGCTTCATCTGCCCGTCTTTTGCAGGTAACCTGAACTTTTCTTAAATACTGTGCTATTTCTGTTTTAGTTGTGTGGACATGAGGAGTTTCTTGTTCGTCTTGAGCTTGCATCTGCATTTCCTTTAACTCTTAACCTATTGTCCTATTCTTACCTAGACAAAGGGTAGGTCTTTTCCTATATAGTTGGCTACAAAATTGTTCGCATTGTGAACTAGTTTAATAAACACACTGCTTTCTGTATATTGTTGTATAATTATACAAAATTGATCATATAAAAATAAGATAGGTGCCCTTTGCTTAAATAAACAGGAGATGATAGAAACTTCTGGGGTTTAATCGTTCATCTAAAGTTTTGTTCTCTAATCACAAGAACTTTATAGACCCGCTACAAATTAGTAGTCACTTGAGTTCAGTTAATAAAAAATCTCTTCAGTTTCATATATTTGCTGTTGCCATCTAACTGTTTTCAATCTTGTTTGCTCATTTAATTTGTCCTTATTAATCTGATTATAATATCATCCATGTGTAAGATACATGAATGCTTCATATATGGGGATGATCTCACAGTTTTCTTTAGTCATGGATTTACAGATACTACCTCCATCTGTAGTTAGACCACTTAGATCGACTTCTATTAAAATTTTCATGTTTTTAATATGGATTCTTTTAACCAATTTTTTCCTGAAAAGTTGTGTCTGTTGAATTTCTTTTACCTTACAGTTTTTTAAATGATCTCAGTAGTTGAATAAAATTGTACTCTATATCTATTCAAAGACAAAAAAAATTTCCGATGATTCCCGTACTTAAGTCAAACATTATCATCTAGAAGCTCTTCACTATTAAAATCTCTAGTAAATCAATATGACATGGTTTAGATATACCACATGGATGACTAAACTTCGCATGCATTTAACTTTTGCACGCATTTTTTTCTTGTTATGGATGCTACAATTGACCCAGTGGAAATTTTTTGTGCTTCTTTCTGAGAGAATTTTAAGCTTCAAATACTGGCATAATATTTCTTGTACCTTCTTTACTCTTAAGAACATTGCACACTGAATATTCTACAATATGTTCTCATATTGCATTCATTTGTACTTATATCATGGTTGAGCAAACATTGAAGTGCTTCCATTCGAATTTCTAATCTAATTACCAGCATTACCTGTTTACACTATTTGTTACACCACCTCACGGCACAAAGTTAACAAAAGATGCTTCTTCTTTTTTTTACATCTCACTATAACTATATCGAATTTCAAATATATCCCACTTTCTGCTATGTGTTTTCGATTTATTTTGAGTAAGACATCATTTTTTTCTACTGTTATAAATAACATCCGATGTGCACTTTCCTAAATTGGAAAAATGAATTTTCTTTTTCATTTTTAGTGGTATTCTTCACATGACATCAAAAAATAGAAAGCGAGTCAAATACCATGAGAATTGTACCGGACAGGAATTTATCTAAAGTAATAGTAATTATTGGGTATTCAAAATCTGTTTTAGGAGATGGAATGAGTCAGATCCTGTGAAGCTTGCTAGTATTTAGAGTAGATGTATCTGCATGTCAAGTTCTACCCTCTTTCTCTGCATTTCTTTTTGAGCTTCCTTTTGATTGAGCTAGACTTTGAAGTTTGCGCTCCATTGAGTTTATGATAGTTAAGTAAAATGTTGCAGTAATTGGTTGCTTCTTTATCACTTGGTATGACACACGTTATATTTTCTTTTGCTTGATTTGCAAATTATTCACAGCTGAGTGATTTCGTTTATGAAATGTTCATTGTTGTTGGGTTTTATTTTGATACGAGCAGGAGAAAGAGCTTCTTGAGCGGCATAATTTGTGGCTTAATGAAGAGTTAACATCTAAGGTTGATAGTCTTATTGAACTGCGTAAAACACATGGTGAACTTGAGGCTGATATGTCTGCTAAGCTTGCAGATGTAAGTGTAAATTTATTACTTCAACAATCAAGGAGAGAAAATCTAGATTGCTCATGCGTATTTTAGAGAATTCTGCTTTTCCTTATTAGATGCTGTTTTAGTGATTCGAGATTATCTTTCCTCCAATGCCAGGTTGAGAAAAAATTTAATGTGACTTGTAGTTCCTTAAAGTTGAACAAGGAAAGGGTGGAGGAGTTGGAATCGAAGGTTGCATCATTAGAGAAAGTATGTGCTGTTAAGTTTTCTTGCCTGTATGCTTTCAAGTTGACTTGTTCAATTTTTGCACCTTTTGTTTTCTCTCTCATCTTCTCATTTCTCTCGATCATTCTTGAAGGAGTTACTGTCATCTAAGGATGCAGCAGGAGCTTCAGAGGAGCACTTTACTGCTGAAATTTCAACAGTAAGTCTATTTCTACGTGTATAAGAGGTCAAATCCTTTGCACTTATATTTTGCAATTCTTTTGATCTTGGATTGCTCGTGCTTTATTAATATTTCTATTAGGGGTGCTTTAATGCGGTTCTGTAAGCACTGATTTGATTATCCCCTTCCTTTTCTAATTATTACTATGCTGTGTGGATATTTTAAATTATTAACGTATGGATGAGTATGGTTGGGTTGGAGGGGAAATTTATTTAATGCGGTTATACTTGAAATGGTGAATGTGCACAGTGGATGAACTTGAGTGATTATGATTGTATCGGAAAAGTGCTACCATGTCTACTGTGGATCTCAAGTGCATTTGGTCAAACATAGAGTTATACATTTTAGAGATCGTCGTCTAATTTTACTTGTGTTGAGGTTTTGAATGTGGTTCTTCCTGTTATTTTAGTCAAAACAAAGAGATTGATGTAACACAATCAACGCGTCTTGATTGAAAACGTATTGTTAAGTTTGGCCATGTTGTGGCTTCTCTTTTAATGATCTAGTGTAAACAATTCATGTCTTTGATGAAATTGATTCCCATCGTTTCAAATATACAAAATGAACATTTGACATTGTTATATCTGTTTACAATTATTGATGCTTGCGTTACTCTTGAATGTTTTCAACCTCTTAGGTAACCAAGCTTGTGGAACTATATAAGGAGAGTTCTGGGGAATGGTCCAAAAAGGCAGGCGAGCTTGAGGGAGTAATCAAGGCTTTAGAAGTGAGCGCTGTTTGTAGTTCATTGTAATTTGATATCCTGTCTGTCTGAACTCTCTACAACTAACTGTGTGCACACAAAAAATAGCATTTCGACACAGTCTCCTACTCAAATTGGATGTAAAGATAGCAGTGTTCTGAAAATGGGTGAGATAATTTGATATTATAGTTCTGTTATCTTTGCTCTGTAGACTCATCTAAATCAAGTTGAAAATGATTACAAAGAGAAGCTTGAAAAGGAAGTTTCAGCAAGGAAGGAAGCAGAAAAGGTGTGTTGTATATCATGTTCATTTTCTTAAAATTAAATGTTTATAAAAACTAGTTCTGTAGCTTTCATCTTCGGATTATTCCGGTTAAGTAGTATGTTTGTTTGTTTGTCTTTAGAGTGACTTTATGTTTGTATCTCTTTTGGATGGAGTAGGAGGCTGCCAATCTGAAAGAGAAGCTCGGGACATGTGATGCGGATTTGGAGAGTTGTAGGAAAGAAAGCGAGCTTAAACATCTTCCTTTGAGTAGATTTACGACTGATTCGTAAGTTAGATAATAATTTCATATGTAATTATAAATTGGGACACAGCTACACATATTAGAGAGGACTATCACTTTTATTGTTACCTTGCTTTTCCTTATTGACGATATTAGTTATTTCAGCTCACTGTGTGTGTACGAGTGTGTGTGTGAGTGCAATATACAATGCCAGCTTGTATACCCGAGGAGATTATACTAATTTCTTCTAGAAAGAGATTTTGAAAAAAAAAAAAAAACTGAGAAATTATCTACCTCAGTTGGATGCCTCCTGTAATGAATTTTTATTTCCTTTTTTATTATTTTTTTATTTTTTGTGAAATCCACTGGTTTTACCTTTTATTTCCTTATAATTAACCTGAAATGTTCTTAGAGCTGGAGAAAATTTTTTCTGCTCTGTTGACCTTCATGATTACTGTTTTACTTTAACCACATTAAACAAATTTGCAAGTTTTGAAATTAATGCTTTAAATTGATTGATCTGTTTACACTAGTAAATATTCGTGTGTAATATGTGGATTTTTCCCGTGTATACTTAGATGGCCACGCTTAGTTGAATGTGATTATGTGGTGGAGAATGATCACATGATTGTACCTAGGATTCCGGCTGGCATTTCTGGAACAGCATTGGCAGCTTCGCTTCTCAGGGATGGTTGGAATGTGAGTTGCAGGCTTGTCTATCTTCTGTTCAACTTGGTTCATAGAAGGCTCTAAAATTCTTCACTGGACATCAATTTTTAAATAATTCAGTGTGTTGACATAGCCTTTTTTTTATCCTCGTAGAATCACTTGGCTTCTTTTATGTCATGTTTATTTTGTTTTAAAAAGCTTTTACCTTTTGTTTAGCTGGCCAAACTGTATGCCAAATACCAAGAAGCTGTTGATGCTCTGCAACACGAGCAACTGGGGAGAAAGCAAACCCAAGCTGTCTTGGAACGGGTATGTTACATTCAACAATTATGGTTGTATTTGGTGCCAAACTGATGAATTAACTATTTTATTTTCTGTTATTTTGCCAACTTTCAAAATGCAGAGCTATCTCACTAGGTTCTGTCCACCCTCTGCTCCCCATCTTCCTTGTCTCTTTGCTGAAGTTTGTTATTGAAATTGATATAATGTGTTTAGTTTGGTTTCTCTCATAAATGCTTCTACGTTGTTGTCCTTAACATTAAAAAGCATTTCTCTCTTCAAGTACTCAGTGAACGAGGAAGATCTGATTGGCTCTAATCTTGTTATAGCACTTTTTGTCGTGAGCTGTTCTCGTCTTACTAAATTGATTTTTAGGTACTTTATGAAATAGAAGAGAAAGCTGGACTCATCATGGATGAACGAGGTATGCTTTCACTTTTGGATCAATAATTACCTCACTGTTCTCGAAGGAAAACACCATCCTCGAATCAGGATTTATCATGTTAATTTGAGAATTGAGAGAGAGAAAGATAGGGGGATGCTTTGATGATAATAGTAACATATTCCTGTGTGCAAGTGTCCGTACATCCTTAGAATATATTTCTTTCATAAACACCAATTTAATATTATTATCTAGGTATTTTTCTGCAAGGTGTCATTTTATATTATTCTACGTATGTTATTGAGTCAAATGCCACCTCTTTGGTGAGGTGGGTTCTTGTGTGTTGAATGTCCAAGGGTTTTCTACATGCTTTCTTTGTGCATTAGCTTTAAAGTTTGTGCAAGGTGATCCAGTGGCTATGCCTTGGATCCACAAACAAGATAATCGGATGGTACATATGGCGATGTCATTTTATAAATAAATGGAGGGAAACAAGGACAAAGGGAACATCGTTAATGAGCCCCTTTTTGGTTACTAGTTAAACTCTATACATATTTGTCAATAACTGAAGAAGACATGCGGTTGATATTAATTATTGTGTACAGAGATCTCATTTTGGTCTTGGAACATTTGTTAGAGCTCATGTATTGGCATGTAGATTCACATGAATTGCACTGTAGGGAATGGGAATAAATGTCCATTTGATATGATTTTTGTGTGCCTTATTCAGTGCGGATGCTTTTATATGTCATTAGCTTTCTGCAAAATCTACTAGCCACGGTGACTTCTTGTGTTCTGTTTTCTAGTAGAAAAGTTATTGATAGACAGATAAGTAAATAGGATGAGGATGTGAAAAATTTTCGGAATCATGAAAAAATAGAAAATTACCAAGTCATTGCCTTTTAATCCCTTTGCATATTCATTGCTTGCTTTTAGAAGAACTTGGTATGATAAAAAGGTTGGACTGTGATCATTTTCTAGCAAATGTAATTATATGTAGGTTCTTGTGATTACCCCACAGCATAATCTAATTTAATGCTGAGGGGAGCATATAAAGACTTGATGTTATCCTCTTAATCCCTCTTCTTTCAAACAATAGTTTATGCATTTTCTGAAACACAGAGGAAAGGGAAAAAGGGGATCCATGAAGAAAATGGTGCAATTCGTGCTGTGTTGATAAATATACTCCGAAGTTCATTTATTGCTTTTGTGTTGTTTTATTACGAAATCTTTTAAAAGTTATTATCTGCACCTCTTGGAAGAAATGAAGTTTAGCTTTTCTTTTATTTTCATCTTGTCGTATTCTGGGTTCGTTCAATGGTTTTCTTTTGTACAGCTGAACATGAGAGATTGGTTGAAGCTTACTCTGTACTTGACGAAAAACTGCAGCATTCACTTTCTGAGCAATCGGCTTTAGAGACAACTATACGGGAACTAAAGGTTTGTGACCTTTGTTGTTAAGGTTGGTTTAGCTGAGGATTAGTTTTTAACTTGTGGTGTACAGGCTGGCTTAAAGAGGCAAGAACGTGACTGTGTAATAGCTCAGAAAGAGACTGTTGACCTCCAGAAGCAGGTTTGTTTTGGAGGGGATCTCATGGTCAATATTTATTGTTAACCTAGACTTTTAATTTGTGCTGTTTTCTCTAAAATCTTTCACTTTTGTGTTGGTGTTGAAAACTATTTTATGTTGTCGAAGCTTTTATGAATTGTTCTTTGTAAACTTTTTTGAACTAGAAATCTTAAAATTTATTTTAAACTTTCTAAAGATTGGTATTGGTTGTGCAATTCATGGCTTCGGGAATTATTGATTATGCTAGAGTTTTTCACATTCTACACCTTCTGTTACTACTCAATTAGGTGGCTGCTCTTTTAAAGGAGTGTCGTGATGTTCAGTTGCGCCTTGGATCTGCTAGTCATGATGATGGTGACTTTGCAATTACCAGTCCTGAAGTTTTGTTAAATGCTGAATCTGATGCTGAAAATATTATATCTGAACGTCTGGTATCTTTCTGTTACATCTTCTTCACGCCGTGCGAAGGTGATTCATCTATAAAGAAGACTATTAATATTTGATGTGTTGTTGGGTCTTATCATTTGTGCAGTTGACCTTTAAAGATATAAATGGATTAGTTGAACAGAATGTCCAGCTCCGAAGTCTTGTTCGTGGCCTTTCTGACCAGATTGAGGAGAAAGAAATGGGGTTGAAGGTATTACGGGTCTCCCTTTTGTAACATTTACTAACGCAGCTTCACTGGTTATATTTTGAGCTTACCAGGTTTTTGAGAATTTCCAGGAGAAGTATGAAAAGGAGTTTCAGAAACATAATGAGGAAACTGCCTCTAAAGTTAATTCAGTATTAATGAGAGCTGAAGAGCAGGGACGCATGATTGAATCCCTTCATTCCTTTGTAAGTTGTCGAAGTGCTTTGGCTCGCGCTTCAGTTAGCCTCCCCCCCCCCTCCCCCCTCTCGGCATTATGTCATGAAGAGTTGCATTGTCTCAATTTATCTTCCTTTTTGTGCTGAATTCTGTTTTCTGCGGTAATAGGTGGCGATGTACAAAAAGTTATATGAAGAGGAACAGAAACGTCACCAACCGCAGGAAGCAGCCACAGGTACTTTTATTCTTTCGTGCTTTTGTCCTCTCATTGCTGAAGCTGCTCTGCAGTCCTTAAGTTTCTTGTAAATTTGTATGTCTTTCAAGCAACTTGATGGTTTTGGTTGTCTTACGGTAAAAGAATTCTTATTGAAGAATGGGATCTTCAAAAATTGGAAGCACTTGGATTTCTTTTTCTCTTTTCTTCTGGTTTGGGAGGGAGCCATCAACAATTCCATGAGTTAAAGAAAAAGCTTAAATTTATGACTCTGTCTGGGAAGAATTAATAGATGGTTTAATTTACAACTAAATAGAAATGAGTTGTGGATTAGTGGATAGTATTGGGGGTCCATTGGAATGTGGGGTTGAAAATGAAGTTTGACCATTTATAAATGATTTATAAATTACGCCAAACCGAGACTATATAAAATTGTATAAAGTTAATGGAGAACCTGGATAGAAATATAATCATTTCTTGTTTCTAGTCTCTTACTAGAGGAAGGTTGCGTTGTCTTGAATATTGATTAGTTATTTGTGCCATTTGCTGATGTAACTGATATGTTTATGTTGCAGAATGGGGAAGCAAAGAGGCCATACTCTTAAGTGAAAGAGTTCATGTATGCTTTTTGAGACTCATCCTTTCTGATTCAGGGATTTGCTTTTTTATTTTTTTTACTTCTGATTACTTTTGGATTATTCACCTTGTATATGGTATGTGCCTTCTTGGGGACAACCGTCAAAACTTCGACTTGTCAAAATATATCGTGAAGGATATTTCTGAGTCGTATTTATATACATTTTACATTTCTTTTAAGCTCTCGGACATCCTATTTATTTTTTGCTTATTTACAGGAAACATCAAAGGTGAAAGAACATGCTTTTGAGCGTGTTAGAAGTCTTGAAGAAGATGTTGCAAAACTGAGGTAAGTTTAACCTTTTTCCCCAGATACTCTTGAAAAGTGAATCATGCAGAACATAATAGAGAAGAAGAATTTGGGTAGATAGGAAGAACTTGGGAGTTGGGAGGAGGAAAATTTCTCTAAACTGAATCCCTGTCAAGAACTTCAATTCAGGGGGACCCTCTAATGCTACACAAGTTTATCAAAAAAATCTAAGGCTCTAATCTCATCTAAAATTAAACAAAATCTGAAAAATCTAAATTATTTTCCAGTTTCCTAAAATACAATTCTTAATTTCCATTCCTCGGAGTCCCTATCAAGTAAACATACCTTTTTCCCCTCATTTTCTTGAAGATTGGAATAATCAACATAAATGTAACGTTATTCTGGTTTTGTGGTTATTTGTTCTCATATTTAATGTCACTTCTTTTTAAAGATACTTGGATATCCTTAGAAGATGCATCAATTTGAAATACTATATTTTGGATTTGGTTGAAACCACGTAGAAATCACTCTTTTATATGATTTGTCAAAATACATCCAGGGGTTAACTTATATTTCGGCCTTTTCCTTGAATTCTATCTTTTTGCTTTTTCCTCCCCTTAAAATGTGGTTCTTTTAAGTGGTAACGTGTGAATATTCATGAATCCTGTATATTATTGGTTAACTTGAAAATTTACTATCAGATGTTGTGGATTCAACCCTTCTCTCTGCTATTAATGATGGAAGTCCATAAAACTTTGTCAGCCTGCAGATCTAGTACACATTTCAACTAATCATTCTTAGAGTAGGCGGTGACAGCATTTGTTAACAATCTTCTGACCTGAAAACTCGCAACAACTCAATCAAGATAATTTTTGTAGGATCAATGAATGAGAACAAGTGGGTCTTGGGCTTCGAGATTAGAAAAATTTTCATTTGATTTGGTTGTTACACTTCTTTTTAGTGTCAAGATGGTTACTCCACATTTCGTTTCTTCTTAGATTGAATTGGACCTATGATTTTTAGACATGTTTGTCCCTTGCCATTACATCCATCTTTCTCTTATTTAGTATTTGCTATGCCACTGATACAACTGATGGCCACATATTGCAATTTTTTATTGCACTTGAATTATCCTCTAAAGACAGCGGGACAAGGAATTGACTTTATGATGTAGATGTTCCATAGAACAAAGAGAGGATAAAGTTTTGTTACGTTAATATGCTAGGTTGACGGTTGTAGATACAACCAACTAATTGGATGAAACTATTTTGGACATTGAAAAAAGAATGATCAACTGGCAGGATTATTGTTGTATGATGAACAAAGAACGGGTTATTGATCAACTAACATGGGTGAACATTCGATTAATATGTTTATTAAGTCGTGATTAGAGACTAGTTCTGAGATGAGTATTATATGCTTTAAACTTCATTTTAGAATCTTGATGTTGTAATCTTTTGGGTGCTTATCTATGTGCATGGCTCTTCGAGATCTGAGGTGTGCGAAATATTGAAATTTCTGCAAAAAAAAACTGTTGGAATTATGCACTAGTCACAACCCTCTTTGAATTCCATCCTCATGGATGTTTTTAAAGGGATATTTTAGCAGTTTCATTTTATTCAATACATGGTTCTGTATTTATTTTCCTATCCAGGAGTGAGATCATTTCTTTGCGATCCGAATGTGACAAGTTAGGACTGGAAGCACAATTTGCACAAGAAAAACTGGCCAGATTTATGAGAGACTTTGAGCATCAGGTTAATATGTTATTTGGAGATTCACTTTAGTTTGTACTTTCTACTGTGCTCTGATCATTTAGGATTAAAATCTTCACATTTCAAGAGGACATAGATTCTATGCGGATATCGTGTGACCTTGTGTTTTTGACATATTTTGGCATATCATTTGGTGAAATGACAGAGAGATGAACATAATGGAGTCATAGAAAGAAACATTGAATTTTCACAGCTGATAATCGACTACCAGCGAAAGCTGCGTGAAAGTTCCGAGTCCTTGAATACTGCCGAGGAGCTATCACGCAAGTTAACAATGGAGGTGATTTTCCCTTTTTACACTGGATGGTTCTCTTGTTTACATTATTCCATCAAAATGTGTGGTATATTGCTATACAGGTCGCTATCCTGAAGAATGAAAAGGAAATACTGCTCAACTCTGAGAAGAGAGCTCTTGATGAAGTTCGCTGTTTGTCGGAGAGAGTTTATCGTTTGCAGGTTTTCTTTCTTTATCGATGTTTCAGGTTATAAATGTGGTTTTAGGTAGCTTTTATCCTTATTTTTCCCATTTCTTTATTCAGGCAAGTTTGGACACCACGCATGGTACTCAGGAAGTGCAAGAGGTAGCTTCTTGTCATTTAATTTATTTTCCATCTGCACGTCCTCTTTAATGTTCTAAACTTTTATTTTGCATCGATGCGTTAGGAGGCCAGAAGCATTGAAAGGAAAAAGCAGGAGGACTATGTTAAAAAAATTGAGGTACGTTCTATTGTATTTTTGATTTTGCTGCATCCCTTCTTCATTTTAACTGACCATGGATGTGAAAGTTACTACATGACACACTCTCTCTCTCAAATTCATGGTTATTTGGTATATGGCATTATCCTCTCCAAATGCACGTGTGTCATCTTTTTTCACTGGTAATATATTGAGAAGTTTCAATTATAGAGAGAATGGGCTGAGGCTAAAAAGGAGCTTCAGGAAGAACGTGATATTGTTCGGAATCTTACACTTGAGCGTGAAACTTCCATGATGAATGCCTTGAAACAAGTTGAAAGTCAGGGTAAAGAATTAGCTGATGCCTTGCATTCTGTGGCCGCTGCTGAAGCTAGGGCCGCCATTGCAGAGGTAATCAATCTGGAATTTTTTCCCACTTAAGTCAATTTTTTGGATTTTTTAGTTTTTTCTTGTTCGTAAAAAAATATTTTTTGATCCTTTATCGTTACTTTATATAGGCCCGTTGTGCTGATTTGGAGAAGATTGTTAAATCTGCACAAATGAAGGTATTTTGTTTTCTGTGTCCATTCTCAGTGGTACCCTTCGGCCCACGAGACTGGAGGATATTGAATGGAAATTTTCTTATGCAAATGTGTTTATCGTGTTGTGTTATTTGACAACGATGAATTTGGACGAAGGTTGCTAAAAGGATTTACTGTGATAAATTATCAAAGCAGCTGCCCTTTGAGTTTTGTGTATTAGTTTGTTGAGAATGGTTGCCCTACTTCCTCTGTCCTTTGTTTTTCTTGCCTTCTCAAGTTCAGTGTGTTGTGCATCTTTTGAATCTGTTTGTTGCTGTGCTGCAGGATTCTGAAGATGCTGAAGCTGGTCCTTCCTCCTTTAGTGACAAGGTACTTCGATTGAATATTTAACTGCAAACTGTTTTATAATTGCTTCGATTCTGTGTACTTTCATGCAAGTGCTAGGATTTTTTTCCCTTTTAGGCATTGCTGTCATTGGAAGCCAATGATATTTTCTAAGTTGCAGTTTATTAGTAAACAAGGTTTCAGTTTTTTAGTAGGTTCAGTTTCCATGTTGAGATTTCCCAACCTGAAACATTGGTTTTAATGGTTGGTTTTTTCAAAGAAATTGGTTTTAATGGGAAAATACTCCTAACCATAAAAATGGGACAACTCGGATCAAAATTGAAAATTTAATATTGTCACATTGTTTATGACTAGTAGCGGCTCTGCTCCACAAACTTGCTCCTTATATTGCTGTTGTTGCCATGTCAAGTCATCAGGTTTCATTTTTTTAGATGTTATTTGAAGTTTCATGCATGTTCAGCAGTATCTCGATTTGTCTTTGTGGAGTCATATTCATTAGTTTCTGGTTGATACTTATAATATTCCTGCAAATATGCTCAAGACTTTGCCGGATGTCCGGGAAGGAATTGAAACACTGAGACAAGAGGTGCAGACCAGCAAAGATCACATGGTTCAGGTACTTATTGCATTTAATGGTGTACAGATGCACTCCACAATCTAAATTTATTTTTCTCTGTTCAGTATAAAAGCATAGCTGAGGTAAATGAATCAGCACTTAAACATATGGAATCTGCCTACGAGAATTTAGGAATTGAGGTATGTGATGGAATTTAAGCATGCACAATCAATTCTTTAATGAACCTCACTTGTTCACTACTGTTCGATGTTGTAGGCTGATAAAGTTAGAAAATCACTTGAAGCAGAAGTCCAATCTCTTAGAGAGCGGATTAATGAACTTGAAAGGGAATGTAATCTGAAGACTGAGGAAGCAGCTACTGCAAATGCTGGGAAAGAAGAAGCTCTTGTGGTTGCTTTATCTGAAACCGCTAGTCTGAAGGAGGATTGCGCTAATAAAATGTGAGTTTTTGATGGTTAATATGTTGTAGTCAGTTTATTTATGTTGTCATTTCGATATATTTATTCTTTTTTTTATGCTAGGTCCCAAGTTGTGGTGATGGAAGCTCAAATCTCTGCCTTGAAAGATGATTTGGAGAATGAGCATCAAAGATGGCGTTCTTCTCAAGCCAATTATGAAAGACAGGTTGCTTTTATATGTTGGCTATCAGCGATGATTCCTCAGAATTCTTTACTTGGCATTTTGTTATCTAGTTGTTTAGTGACAACTAAAGGTTTCAGTAAGTAGGTACTCCTGTATATGGAAGTACAAAAGAATAAGGCACATTAAAAAGTCATCATTGAACTTGCAAAAATGTCAACTAGTACTTCAATATATGTGAAATGTAGGAAGTAGGTACACAACGTTTTTTGCTGCATGTGGGTCCCCAAACTTTCATTTTTGTAACACTTGGACCTAGAAAAAAGTATGGGGACCTACTTGCTTCATTTCCCATAGGGCGAGGACCCAAATTCTAATTTTCTGCATGAATTTTGGTTCGAACCCTAGATTTTGTCAACTTCCGGAATTTCTGGAATGATCACGGAGTTTACTATTTTTTATTTTTAATTCATCTCAGTTACCTTCAGAATCTTAAAAATAAGAATATTCGAGCCAACACTCGTTTCATCTTCGTTTCCTATTTATTCGATATTGCATTGTAAATACAATTCAAATCTCCTCTTCTTCGCCCCCATCCCCCAACAAAAAAAATACAAAGAAAGTAAAAAACACACCCATTCATACTGGATATGATTTGATGCGAATTGGAACAGTGTGTTAGAAGATGTTCATTGAGGTTTGCTGAAATTTTTGATGAATTATGTTGTAATTGTACGTAAATTAGCTCCTTGATTTCTGCTTGAAAACACAGTTAACAGAACAAGCAAGAGCTTTCTTGCTAAAGGAATGTGTACGGAAGGGCATAGCCCTATATATGTATACTGTTGCCAGCCTTAGCTTGAGTTTACCTATATTAAAGAGATGGATCTTTCTTCTTTATCGCCAGGGTAGGCCTTTCATCCACTCGAAATTTTCAAAAATCTATGGAAGCATTGGTTTATACATTCCTCTTAGTCTTGACTCTAGGGATGATTTTTTTCGCTATCTTTTTTCAAGAACCGCCTAAAGTTCCAACTAAAAAGATGAAATGATTTTGCATTAACTCAATTGAAGTAATGAGTCTCCCAACACCAAGAATATTTTCTAAAACTCTTTGACCCCTGAATTTGGAGTATCCTACTTTCACGCAATTCACAGGGGTAATAACATCTTAGTGTTGCTATATTTCTTTTATATTATTAGAGGGATTTCTCTTGATTGAATACAAAAAAGAAGACCATCCTCTTTGTGCTTCGATAGGTTTAGGTAAGGTATACGAAGAAAAAGCCTATTCAACATTGTTGACAATGTAACTTACTAAAGAAATTCGTTTCTTAACAAACTTTGGCTTGTTCACAAATACAGTAGGTCATTCCCTAGACGTATTTGAATTACTCTTTGAAGTTTTTAACCGGTTTCGTGTCATTATTTTGACTTCCTAAATTCATTAGGATTAGGTACTGTAGAACAGGTGCAGGCCCCTTCTAATGGAAAAATCAAATTCAATAAGGATTTGGTTCATCCGATGTCGTAGACGTCATGGACATCCTGCCTTTCTATGTTCTATAGAATTGTAACTATTGAGAGTGAAGATATTCTACATAATGTAAATATTTCATCCAAAAGTTTTCTTTTAGTTCAAAACGATCAATCTATAGAATCAAAACAAGAAACTTTGTGTTTGTGGATGGAATCCCCCGAGAAGAGTTAGAATGGGAGTTCTTGGTCCTTGGGAGGTCCCTAATAAACGACTACTTGAATCAGGGTTTTGAGCATAAAGATTTCATTGACCTATCAAAAGTGGGCCTAATCCTTGGGGATGCAGTAATACCTCTAAGAAATTATTCTATTCGAACATACTTCCCTATGGATCCTCGAATAGCAACATGTACTAAATGCCCTGTCCAAGCAAGGAACTTACGCTAAAGAGTTCTGACAAATGATGAGTCAGACGAGATTCGGCATTTTTGAACCACGAAACGCTCGGTTTCCATTTCGGTCATTGGTGTAACCAATCTGCTATTAAGGATATGACAAAAAGAAATAAAGCTAAACAAATTGCTTCTGCCTCAAGGATCGAGGACTGTGTTGGTTGTAAGAGATATGAATCCGCCTGCCCAACGGATTTATTGACTAGCTTATTGATGCGTTCCAAAAAACTCTACTTCAATCCATTTTATTTTTTTATCGAGAAAGCCCATGCTCCCAAGTATTATAAACATAAATATTCTTTTCTTCAACAACTTTCTGTTTAAAGTCCTAATTTTAGATGGAATGCGATCTTTTTTATATCTTAAACAAATCATATCTTTTTTCGCAAACTGAACTGAATCGAGTTCAAATGACACGCATCAACCTGAATCTATTTTTTATCAGGTAAGATGAGAACATGGAGCAAAACAAAAGAGTTTGAATTCAAAAAAGTTGGGTGTGTTTTCATCATATGTTCATTCCCTTTAATATTTAGGGAAGTTAGTTACTTGGAAAAACTTTCCATCCTATATCTATTTGAATTTTCAATGATGGATGTACTTTGAAAGGAAAGAGAGGGATGAGGTTTCTCTCGCTTTTGGCATAGCGAGCCCCTGGTGGGAGACTCACATGACGGGTTATTAGCTCAGTGGTAGAGCGCGCGTCCCTGATAATTGCATTGTTGTGCCTGGGCTGTGAGGGTTCTCAACCACATGGATAGTTCAATGTGCTCATCGGCGCTTGACCTTGAGATGTGGATCATCCAATGCGCATTAGCATTACTCCTCCTGTTCAAATCGGGGTTTGAAACCAAACCCCAGACTTTTGCCGGGTCTCCTCCTCTACTTCTCTTTCTCCAATATATCTATTGTGAGAGATTTGTATCCTAATGGATGCTCTATTTTTTCTGCACTTTTGCGGTTATCCCCCCAGAACAGTTCAAAATTATGATTAAAGTTTCTATGGGTTGAGGGGAAATGACTTTTACCGTCAAACATTTGTGTATGTATACTTCACATGCCTACCAAGGAGTTAGATTCTCTACTTATATTGAAGTTCTTTTAAGTCAAGCAGCTCAACTATACTTAGCAACTACTGAATTTAATGACAATGCTGTCTTATTGTGTTTGTCTTTGTTTGTTATTTCATTTTCGGGAGAATTCTGATATTTCTGTTTGTAATCAGTAATTACAATTGCTTGTATATTTGATATTATGTAATTGTACTTGGAATTTGGAGAAGGAAATAAGCCTACTGCCCCGGTGGTTGCATTTATTGTTTATTTATTTTCCCCAGGTTATTCTACAGTCAGAAACAATTCAGGAGCTGATGAAAACATCACAAGCCTTGGCTTCAGCACAAGAGGAAACATCTGAGCTCCGTAAAGTGGCAGATGCACTCAAAAATGAAAATGTAACTTCTTCTCCATTTCACTTCGCTTCATTTGTCTTCTCGCTTGGTTCTAATTCCTACTTGAATAATTTTTTACTCACTATGACCACAAAATGTTCAAGAAAGATATTATTAATTTGATTCAGGACGATGATTGTTTTATTGAATTAACAGTGAATTTTTTTTATTGTAAACATAAATTGAGGCGATGCTTCCTATAGTTGTTTAATATCAAGTAATGCAATATCATTCCACAGAAGATCCATGTGGGCTTTCAGCTGTTGACTTTTCAGTGTGTCGCCAGTATTTGCATAAAGCATCTTTTCCACAATTTATTGATGCATTTTGAAGTTCCTCAATCCTATCCTTCAAATGTTCAATGGTTCTATTCTCCTAGTTTTGGACTCGCTCAACTTGGGAAAATTGGGAATATGAATCCATTCTTCATATGTTTTATATTTTGTTTCTAGTTTCTTCTAGTTATCGCTGATTGAGATAACACCCAATTATTTGTTCAGAATGAGATGAAGGCCAAATGGGAAGCTGAAAAGCAATCTCTGGAAACATCTAAAAATGAAGTAGATAAGAAATATGGTGAATTTAATGAACTGAACAAGATGTTGCACAGTCGGATTGAGGCCTTGCAAATCAAATTAGCTGAGAAGGACCGAGGAATAGCTTCTGGGAGCACATCTCAGACTTTGGGTAATGAGGATGGATTGCAAGATGTTGTAAGTTACCTGCGGCGGTCAAAGGCAATTGCAGAAACAGAAATTTCCCTTTTGAAACAGGAGAAGCTTCGACTGCAATCACAGTTAGAGAGCGCTCTAAAGGCAGCAGAGTCAGCGCAAGCATCTCTTAATGCAGAGCGGGCAATATCTCGAGCATCACTATTCACTGAGGAAGACTTCAAATCTCTTCAACTTCAGGTGAGAGAACTGACCTTGCTTCGAGAAAGTAATGTGCAGCTCCGGGAAGAAAACCGCCATAATTTCGAAGAATGCCAGAAACTTCGTGAAGAAGCCCAAAATGTCAGGACTGAAATTGTGAATCTGGAGAGACTTCTTAACGATAGGGACAAAGAGGCGGAAGCTTTCAAGAAAGAAGTTGAAATGCAGAAGATCGAGAAAGAACATCTTGAGAAGAGAATTGTTGAGTTGCTGGAGAAGTCCAAGGATGTCGATGAATATCGTCGCATGAGGGAATCTTTTGAGCAGATGCAAGTGAATATGAGAGAGAAGGATGTACGGTTGGAGGAAATTAAGAAACTTGTATCTGAGAAGCAGGATGCGACAACCCATTTAGAGCAAGACCTTGCTAGGAGCAAAACAGAATTGAATGAGAGAGATGTCAGAATCAATGAAATCTTGCAAACCGAGGCTTCTTTGAGAACAGAAGTTGAAAGATTTAAGAGATCAAATGTTCAATTGAGGAGGAAGTTGGACAACTTGTCAAAGGAAAAGGAGGAACTGAGCAACGAGATTCAAGTACTTTCCAAACAATTGGAAGATGCCAAACAAGTGAAGAGGAACTTAGGGGATGCTGCAGGTGAACTGGCAATGAAGGAAAAAGAGAGGGAGAAAGACACAAGAATACAGATTCTTGAGAAAACACTGGAGAGGCAAAGAGAGGATTTGAAGAAGGAGAAAGAGGATCGTAATAAAGATAAGGAAAAATTTCAGAAGAATCGAAAGATAATCCTTGACTCTTATGAAAGTGTCAGTCAGCAGAGGGCAAAGCTCGTAGATGAGCTGGAGAAGCATAAGCACGCACTGAAGACACTCCATGATGAAGTGGAGAAACTTAAGAATGGCAGTCAATCTGAGTCTACTCCAGTGGTTCAACCTTTTACTGGCACTCCGTTGGAGGATTTTTCTGGTGCCTATTTCCAGGCTGTAGAAAATTTTGAGCGAGTTGCACTACCAGTTCGCATTGAGCTTGAAGCTTCCACTTCTACTGATCCTTCTTCTCTAGGTACTTCATCTGCAGGAGCTACAATTGTTCAAGCAGGCCCTGCAATTACCCAAAATATTTTGCCGCCTCCACCTTCTGCTGCTGCTGCAAATGTTCCTGCAACAAAAACAGTTGAAGAAAGGGAGAAACGATTTACTGTCCCAAAGACAAATGTTAAAACAGCGAGGAAACTGGTCCGTCCTAGTATTAGAAAGCCTAGAGAACAAGGTGATGTAGAGATGTCAGAAGCTGGCGAGTCTAACATTGGTGTCAAGCAGTCATCTTCTCAAAATATAGAAACTCAAGGAAATTTGATCGTACCAACACCGTCACTTGTTCGCAAACGCCCATCATCTTCAGTTCCCTCTGATTTGCAAGAAGATGTACTGGCTCCAGAGGAAACTAGCTCTGACATGACAGCACCTGACCCGAAAAAGTCTAAAGGTGCAGAGACCCAAAAAGAAGGTGATGAAGAACACTCTACTGCTACTTTGAAAGCTCCCCAAGTTTCACCTCCCCCTGAAGAAATGCCTGAGAATGTTGAAAATGTTCATCAAGATGTCGAGGAACCTGTAGATGCTGAAAGGGATGAGTTAGCAACTGCAGGGGAGGAATTTGAAGAGCCAACAACAGATGGAAAGAATCAGGCTGAATTACAGAGTGACGCTAGTGATGTAGCAGAAGAGAATTTGGATAAACCAAGAGAAGCTGTATTGTCAGATGAACAATTGAGATATCCGACTGAACAAGACGTCCAGCATATAGGAACAGAATCTGAGAACAGGGAAGAGGGAGAGTTGGTCGCAGATGATGTGGACACTGAGGGAAATGCTATCATATCTAATGCAATGGAGGGATCAGGAATTGGGGATTTACAACCGGAGCATGCAACATTCGACAATTCTCCAGCGGCTGACGAACCCTTGGAAGTTGGGGAGATTGATCCCTCCCAAGTTTTGGACGAAGAAAAGAATGATGGCGGTGAAATGACTGAGGACATTGTTGAAAGTTCCGATAAGACTGATGATGGCACAGACGAAGTTGCAGAAACAGATCAGGCCCCTGGAGATTCTAGTACTGCTGGTCTGGAAGCAACAACTAGCAATGCTGTTGAAACTGAACAAGGTGGTTCCACTGTCACCAGCGCCGTGGAAGGAAAACAGACATCACCTGTTACTTCCAGCAGCTCGACAACCATCAATTGGCAGGAGAGAGCTAGGTTAAGGGCATCTATTAGACAGGCTGGTATGCTTGCTCCTTCGCCTGGTAGAGCTCGTGGAAGAGCAACTAGGGCTCGCGGTACACGAGGTGGTCGTGCTGGTCGTGGACAAGCACCCGGTTAAGTGGGCCTGGATCTATAAGTTGATAAAAGAGGATGCATCATCTTGGTTTTTAGGTGCTTTTAGAAATTGCAAGGAGAAGCTGACGTTTTATGGCGCACAGATACATCATAGAAAATTGAATCAAGTATAACTTGTACTGTCAAGAATGATAAATGGCAATGTTGGAATGACATCGTTTGCTATCAATTTTTATTATCTATACTTCAATTGTGTAACGTTTTAACCTATATTTCCTTTTGTAAATTCTGAAGCATGAGACTCAATTTCTTTTCATCTCCATTCCCCCCTCCCCCTCCCCCTCCCC